GTTTGGCGCCTGCCTTTGGCCCAGGGCGCGATCCTGGAGACCCCGGATCGAATCCCACATCGGGCTCCCGGTCATGGAGCCTGCTTCTCCCTCTGCCTATGTCTCTGCCTCTCTCTCTCTCACTGTGTGCCTATAATAAATAAATGAATGAATGAATGAATGAATGAATGAATGAATGAATAAATAAATAAATAAATAAATAAATAAATAAATAAATAAATAAATAAAATTGAAGAATATTTAATTTGGGCAGCCCGGTGGCTCAGCGGTTTAGCGCCGCCTTTGGCCCAGGGCCTGATCCTGGAGACTCGGGATCGAGTCCCATGTCAGGCTCCCTGCATGGAGCCTCCTTCTCCCTCTGCCTGTATCCCTGCCTCTCTCTCTGTGTGTGTCTCTCATGAATAAATAAATAGTCTTTTTAAAAAGAATATTTAATTTTGGGGATACCTTGGTGACTCCGTGGTTGATCATCTGCCTTTGGGTCAGGACATGACCCCAGGATTCTGAGATCGAGTCCCACATCAGTTTCCCCATGGGGAGCCTGCTTCTCCCTCTGTCTATGTCTCTGCCTCTTTTTCTCTGTCTCATGAATAAATAAAACTTATCTTTAAAAAAAAGAATATTTAATTTTTTAGGAAACTCTTAAAACTCAATTTAAAAATGGATAAAAGATTTGAATAGACATCTCTCCAAAAAGATACAGTAATGTTCGATAATCACAAAAGACATTCAACATCACTTACTAGGGAGATGCAAATTACAAAATCAAAGTGAGATACCACTTCACCCTTGCTACAGCCATAATCAGAAACACGCACTAACTGGTTTTGGTGAGGACATGCAGAAATTGGACCTTCATGCACTGCTGGTGGAAATGTAAATTGAAACAGCTGCTTTGGAAATAGTCTGACAGTTTCTCAAAATATTAAAAATAGAGTTACCATATGACCCAGTAATTCTACTCAGAGATATACCCAAGAGAATTAGAAACATATGTCCACAAAACAAATTGTACATGAATGTTCATATCAGGTTTATTCTAACGAGCCAAAAAGTAGACACAACCCAAATGTCTTATCAACTTAAGAATAAATGAAATGTGGCTTCTCGTGCAGTGAGATATTTAGCAATAAAAAGGATGAAGTAATGATACATGCTGCATCATGGGTGAACCTTGTAAACTTACTACATAAAAGAAACAAAATCATAAAAGACTCTATATTATATTATTCTACTTATATGAAATGTCCAGAATTGACAAATGAATGAGACAGAAAGCATATTGATTAGTAGCTGCCAAGGGTAGGGGATAAATGGAGAACTGACTATTGCTCATAGGGACCAGGTTCTTTTTGTGGGATAAAGATGCTCTAAAATTGATTATAGTCTTTATTGTAGAATTCTGAATATACTAAAAACTATTGTGTACTTTAAATAGGTGAATTATATGATGTGTGAATTATATATCAGTAAATTGAGTGGGGTTTTGTTTTTTTGTTTTTTTGTTTTTTTTTAAGAGTGATGGTTAGGACTTTTTGTTTCAAGTTGAATCACTAACAATATTTGACTACCTGTATTTCTTGAGTGTGTTTCAATAAAGGCAAGTTGTTTAGGACTTGTATAAAACTTGTTTTTGCAGGAAATGTTTGTCAAATGTTTGTCAAATGTCAGTGTTATCTACACTGTATGTTTATTGATTTATTTCAAAAGTACCTCGTTAGTATTTTACTCAAAAATTTGAAACTATGTTTGCTTAAATGTTGATCTTAAGCTTAAAGGTTGTACTGTAGCTCCATTAAAAATACATTTTAAGGGATCCCTGGATGGCTCAGCTGTTTTGGTCCCTGCCTTTGGCCCAGGGCGTGATCCTGGAGTCCCGGGATGGAGTCCCGCATCAGGCTCCCTGCATGAAGCCTGCTTCTCCCTCTGCCTAGGTCTCTCTCTGTGTCTCTCATGAATAAAAAGTTTTTCTCATCTCATTGTTAAAAAAACCATGGGAAGTCTAAATTTAAAGACTACCTTAATCAGAGTTGTACTTTGTGGAACAATTTTCCGTACTTTTGAAGGGCAAAGACATCTTAAATACTACCTGTGAGCTCACTGTGTACTGATTTTTGGCAACAACTTTTATCCAAGGTACTATTTGTGGTTTCTCTCTCTCTCTTGATTTGTTTATTTTAGAGAGAGAGAGACAGAGGGCATAAGCAGGAGGGGCTGAGGGAGAAAGAGAATCTCAAGCAGACTCCATACTGAGTGCAGAACCAGACACAGGGCTGTCTCAGGACTCTTGAGATCGTGACCTGAGCCAAAACCAAGAGTTAGATGTTTAACTGCACTGCCCAGACACCCCTTTGGTTTCTCTTACTGTTGCTTTGTGTTGTCACCATATTTGATCCTCACTGATATAAAAATTGTATTAAGTAAATAATCTTCCACTTTTTAGGCCAGATGAACATCCAATATAAACAACAGTATGAATTTGAATATTTCTAACATCCAGTGTCATCCAGTTGAAATATAAATATTTAACATAATTTCAGCCTTCATACTATTTTATCAAGTACAATGGTGCCCATCCTTGGATGCATTTCTCTTCTATAGTAGCAAACAATGGTATTGGTGATCTTCTAGTGACACTAGTGTCCTACAGTGTCAGCACAAAAGAATTTTTCATTGTACAGTGTTAACGTGAGCTTTACAGTGTATCTTCCCTAGATGTATGTGTAAAGATACTTCAAGATCAACCTTGCTAAGTGTTTATTTCTTAGAATTCAGATTTGGTTAATAAGCTGTTAATCTTATTTTTGTTAGAAACCAAAAGCTATAGTGTTATGAAGGTTTTCTCCCCAGGATTAATTTAGCCAGTGTCTGCTCCCTCAAAAATCTTTGCAAATTTTTGTTATATGAAACAGTACATTTTAGGGGCACCTGGGTGGCTCAGTTGTTAAAGCATCTGCCTTCAGCTCAGGTCATGGTCCCAGGATCTTGGAATTGAGCCCCCTGTCAGGCTCCCTGCTCAATGGGGGTCTGCTTCTCCCTCTCTCCGTTCATGCTGTCACTCCCTCTGTCTCTGTCTCAAATACATAAGTAAAATCTTAGGAAAAAAAAATTAAAAATGAGGGTACATTTTAATTGCATTTAAGATTAAGCCCACGCCAAAAAAATATAAATAAATGAAGAATTAAGCCTTAATGACAGCTAACCATGAAATTGTTTTCTTTTTTTTTTAATGAAATTGTTTTCAATTGATGTACATTTGCCTTCAGTCCTCGTAGTGCTTTTATTATGGTTGACCCTAGCAAAGAGTAAGTACATGCACTTGTGTTTATTAATATTCATCTTAATCATTTTTAAAAATTTCCTATTTGTGAGGCCTGGGTGGCTCAGTTGATTAAGCATCTGCCTTTGGCTTAGGTCATGATCCTGAGGTTCTGGGATTGAGTTCCACATTGGTATTCCTGCTCTGGGGAGCTTGCTTCTCCCTCTCCCTCTCCCTGACACTCACTCCCCTTGCTTGTTCTCTCTCTCTCTCTCTCTCTCTCTCTCTCTCTCAAATAAATAAAATCTTTTTTTAAAAGAAATAAATTTCCTTTTGAAGTCAGTGATCCATTTCTAGTTTTAAAAACTATACACCTCATTAATTCAAATACAACATTTCTAAAATCCTCAAGCCAGAATCATAATTTAAAACTAAGTCATTAATTTAAAAGTCAGGAAGCAGGGTGCCTGGGTGGCTCAGTTCATTGAGCCTTTGATTCTTGGTCCTTTGATTCTTGGTTTTGGCTCAGGTCATGATTTCGTGGGATCAACCAACTCCGTGTTCAGCTGGGAGTCTCCTGAAGATTTTCTCTCTCTCTCCTCCCTCTGCCCCTCCCCCCACTTTCTCCTTTCTCTCTAAAATAAATCTTTAAAAAAAAAGTTAGGAAGCATCCAAAATTTACAAAACTATATATAATATAATATGGGATCTCTTCAGAATTTGCTTATTATTGCCCAATAGACCATTTCTGAGTGATGAGAGTAAATGTGCTTGCTTTGAGTAAATTTGTGACTTTTTGGTGAGAAAGTATGCAAAAGCTAGAAATCAAGAACCAATGCAGAGCTACAGTTTTCCTAATCAGGAATGCATTTACCAAAGTTCTATATTTGGTGAAGGGATGTTTATTAGTTAGCAAATTGCCAGCCATGTGTGCTTCTGGCTTATTTTAACCAGTTTTTATGGAAAGCTTGGCAAATGTGTACTGAATGTGTTCTTTATAAAAGTGTATTGTATTATAGAACAATCATTGTGCTCTTACAGTAGCATTTTCAACTAAGGATTTTTGGGTGGCCTTCACGGCCATATTTACTGATATATATAGTTCACATACCATATTTACTGTTTCCAGTAAATATCAAATTTACTGGAAAGAGAGACTATATAGCTTTCTAAGATTATCAAAAGAATATATGCGCCCCCAAATAGTTGAGAATTAAGAAGGTAATTTTGCTTTTGCATAATTAATCCAAACTGTTGTACTTCTGTAGTTTCTGCTTTTTTTAATTGAGCAGATTGATAAATAGCTACAGAATGAAAGTTTTCTTTTTCCACAGTTATGTTTCACTTGAGTAAATTATTACTTCTTATGCTTTTCCATTTACCTTTTTCTTTAGCTGTCCTTCCTAAACATTCTTGCACTGTTGCTTCATATTTAACATTAATTAAGGCAAATTACATACACGTAGAATCTATCAAACTTAATATTGAGAAGCAAAGTTCTGATGAGAATGCCTCCTAAGAACTAGTGAGTATAACTACATATGTAGCACATTTTATTTCACTTTGATTTAGGTGTTAGTATTGTTTTAGAAACTTAATTTTATTTGACTAAGTGTAATTGAGTTTTAGTTGACTTAAGGTTTTACTTTTTGTGAAAAACTAGTTTGACAAATTAAAAAACACTTTGCAACTCCTGGATCTTGAGGGGAGCTCAGCTTGGATTTTGTTATTGCCCTTTTAGGATACTGATGAGTTTATTTTACCCACTGGAGCTAATAAAACCCGGGGCAGATTTGAACTGGCCTTCTTTACCATTGGAGGATGTTGTATGACAGGTGGGTATGATCACTTTTTTCACTGTCCTCAATCCAAGTAATCAAAAGTGTGTAAAATCAAAAGTATTTCAGATATTGGTTCCAGAGTTTTAAAAAATCATTTAGGGGTACCTGGCTGACTCAGTCCGTTGAGCATGTGACAGTTGATCTTGGGGTTGTAGGTTTGAGCCCCACGTTGGGTGTAGAGATTACTTAAAAATAAAATCTTTAAAAAAAATTATAAATAATTATTATATACATTTTTCATTTTCTCCTACTAAAATTAAAAAGAATTCGAAGTGCAGTTTTGTAATGGAAAACTGTATTATTTGGTTGAATCATTACTGTGAATCACTAGGGGCTGCATTTGGAGCAATGAACGGTCTACGGCTAGGATTGAAGGAAACCCAGAACATGTCCTGGTCCAAACCAAGAAATGTACAGTAAGTCTTATAATCATCTGATGTAGTGATGTTTCAATATTAACCTCTACTTTGTTGGCTTGATGAGCACAACCTTGAGATTACAAATGTTTAGGGTATTGACATACATTTTGATTGATTTTTTTTCCTTAAAATAAAAGTAATTAAGGAGTCAGGTTACTGAGGCTTAGATTTTAAAAGGAGTGATTTTTGAGTCAGTGTCCCTCAATTAGCTGTTGCTTCCCCGACCTAACTTCTCTACTTTTTCATTCTGTAGGCCTCTGTGACTTGCTTTTCTAGTGGTTGAATTGCTAATACGTTAGTTAGATTGTTCAAGGGTGTGCAAAACCATAGGACATGATAGTAAAGAAAGAAGCATGTAAGAGTGATTGCTGGATCTGCTGTCATTTGAATTGAACTAAACTGACTTCGCTCACTGTTTCTGAAAGGAGAAGGCAAAAAAAAATTTATCACGGAGTCCCTAGAACTTAGGGATAGTTCCCTGAGTCTTCTCTTCGGAAATTGAAGTTTGTGGAGAAGGAAAGTACAGACATCTTCACCCTGCCCAAGAAACAAACATGACTGGTCCATGTAGATATTCTCTAAATAATATGATGTTTAGTTTTGGATGTTTTTACACTTTATATGGGTGAAGTCACACAGTATATATTTATACAATGGCTCATCATCATTTTTTTTTTAAAGATTTTATTTATTCATTAGAGACACACACACACACAGAGAGAGGCAGACATAGGCAGAAAGAGAAACAGGCTCCATGTAGGGATCCCAATGTGGGACTCCATCCCGGGACTCCAGGATCATGCCCTGGGCGGAACGCAGGAGCCCAACCGCTGAGCCACCCAGGCATCCCTGTCATCATCTTTATATGTTGTTTAGCCAGCAGGTGGCAGCAGGTTTGCTAAATTAGACCTTGGGAATCCTGACTGTCAAGTTTTTCATATTCTTGTTACTATGTGGATCTTGCTTTACTAGGCCAGATCCTTGCATATTTTTACATTTTTATTAATGCTTGTCCCTTACTCCAGAGCATCTGCATGGGGATACTTAGCCGAAGTATCTGCCTTCTGCTCAGGTCATGATCCCAGCGTCCTGGGATCGAAACACCTTCCTTCCATCCCCCTGTCAGGCTCCCTGCTCTTCCCTCTCCCTCTGCTTGCCGTTCCCCCTGCTTGTGCTCTCAAGTGCACTCATGTTGTCTCTCTCTCTCTCTCAAATAAATAAAATCTTTTTAAAAAATTTGTTCCTTACTCCAGTACTTTTTTTTACTTTTTTGTGTTATGCAGAATTTTGAAAATGTACAAAAGTAGACAGAATAGTACAGTGAAGACCCATGAACCATAACCCATCCTCAGCAGTCGGCCAAGATTGGGACCAAATGTGCCCCATCTCATTCTCCGCTCGCATATTACTTTAAAGCAAATCCCTAACATCACATCATTTAATACCAATTTGAAAGTGGAGGATATGCTAGAAAAGACAACCTTTCTTGCTTAAAAGTGATAGTTATTAGTGTTTTAGAGAGAGTAAAATTGATTTATATTTTTTAGATAAGATTTCTAAAATATATATTCTTAAAATATATATATAATTTTTATATGACCATTCTAATCTTACTGGATAGGAAGCATTTAAAACAGGAGACAGCCGAGGTAATAGGTGGCTCAGTTGGTTAAGGTCCGCCTTTGGCTCAGTTTATAATCCCAGCTTCCTGGGATTGAGCCCTGTGTCAAGCTCCCTGTTCAATGAGGAGTCTGCTTCTCCCTCTCTCTTTGCCTGCCCCCTACCCTGCCCCTCTTACGCTCTCTCAAATAAATAAATAAAATCTTTGAAAAATAAAATGAATGAAGTAGGAGGCAGCCTCTAAAAATGGAAAGAAGGTAAGGTTTGGGGCCAGTCAGATCTATGTAGCTTCAAAGCCTAGTTTCTTACTTACTGTTTTGTGATTTTAGGTAAGTTTTTTTCTACACTGAAGGGTTGTTGAGAGGTGATTAAGGTAGCTAAATAGGGGCTCAGTAAGTGGAGATAAATTGCCCAATCATATCCCAGACAATTTCACTAACTTGCAGTGCTTCCAGCGGTATAATAAAAGTAATAGTTTTAAAAACTTGTTACAAATGACAGTATACTGAACTTAAGTTAGTAAATATGTAACAATTAGTTAGAAACTATATACTTCATTACTAATTTTTAAACAGCTTTTTAGAGATAAATAGAAATTTTTGTTTGGGATCCCTGGGTGGCGCAGCGGTTTGACGCCTGCCTTTGGCCCAGGGCACGATCCTGGAGACCCGGGATCGAATCCCATATCGGGCTCCCGGTGCATGGAGCCTGCTTCTCCCTCTGCCTATGTCTCTGCCTCTCTCTCATTCTGTGTGACTATCATAAATAAATAAAAAAAAAATTAAAAAAAAAAAATAAATAAATAAAGTCTATCCTTTAAAAAAAAAAAAAAGAAATTTTTGTTATTTGGACATTACATGAGTTTTTTAATTGCATTAAATGAGTTTTTTCACTTTGTTACTGGAATTACATAATTTCCAGCAGTAGTCAGCTGTCCGGATAGACCCATTCCTGTGATGGTGTTACACTGCTGGGAGAGGAATGTCTTCTTCCTCCAGTTGCCTCTGTCACTGTTTTGGTGGTGCCTGGCACTGGTACAAGGCAGAACTATGCTTCCTTGAGAGTATGCTGAGCGTTAACTCTGGCCGCTTGGTTCTAGTCAGGGAGCAGACATAGTATGTTTTCTGTGTGTATTCTACTGAGACAGCTTTTTCCTTCTCTGAGTATTTCCCCTTATTTCTGCTTTTTTTTTTTTTTTTTTTAAGATTTTATTTATTTGACAGCACGAGCAGGGGGAACAGCAGTGGGAGAGGGAGAAGCAGGCTCCCCACTGAGCAGGGATCCCAATGTGGGGCTCAATCTCAGGACACTGGGACCATGACTTGATACTTTGACTAAGCCACCCATGCACCCCTATGTTACTTCTTTTATGTAGATCAATTACTATAAACTTTTTTTTAGTAAAATACATTCTAGGCTGTCAAATCCTTTGTGTATTTGATTTATATTTAATAATAACTTTCCTTACTGCCCAAAAATGTTAGAGGTTTAACCTTCATTTATATTTATATACAGTAAAAGTCATCCTTACTAAATTCTGAGGAGATACTAAGGTAAGTCTTAAAATTAAGAAAACTTCAGGGGGTGCCTGGGTTGCTCATTCGGTTGGACATCTGACTCTTGATTTTAGTTCAGGTCATGATCTGGGGGTCCTGATACCAAGTCCTGCCTCAGGCTGTGCACTCAGCGGGGTGTCTGCTTCTCTCCATCGGGTCTCTGCTCGTGTTCTCTTTCTCTCTAAAATAAATCAATAAATCTTTTTAAAAATAAATAAATTTTAAAAATAAAAATAAATTAAGAAAACTTCGGGTATTGGCTTTATACATTATAAATAGCTACAGTAATGGTTTTTCAAATTATTAGAGAAATGGTAATTCTAAGTACAAATTCTTTCTCTCTCTGCCCTGGTAGGATTTTGAACATGGTGACTAGGCAAGGGGCACTTTGGGCTAATACTCTAGGTTCTCTAGGTAAGTAGAGATCTCACTTAATAAATCATTAATGCAACAAAAGAATGTGTATGGTATCATGAACAATTTGGTCAACCAAAGTTCTGGCCCTAGGATATTAAACATTTTATTTAAATCTACTCTGATGAGTAATGTAGACAATACTTAGGAAAAGACCATTAACAACATAAAGTAATTCCAGATGTTAAAGCCTTTTCTCAATGTTTTAAGTCTTTTTAAATATTATATACTCCCCTGTCCAAGCAAGATACCAAATCATGTTTTAAGTAGATATGAAATCCAGGTAACTTAGATCTAAGTCAAGTGCCTCTTTATGTTAAGAAAGGTTCAGGGTCCTGTAGTAAGGTACGGTAGATTAATTCATCCCTCTTGCTCTAGTTTCCTAATAGCCCATTCAGCATTCTATTTACTTCAGTAGATTTCCCAGACCCAATTTCCAGAGTTATAATAGGACCTTTGTAGATAATGAAAACATTTGTTGTTCTAAGCAAAGGGTAAGTTGGTAGGACTTAGGACCAAATTCTTTCATATTATGTTGTTTATAAATGATTGACTCTTTTGGTTACTCATAGCTTATAATAAATGTACCAGTGGTATTTATACCGTAACAGCCAAGAATGTCTTTGTAACTTAGTTGAAAGTCTGAAAATCTTTTAATTGTGGCAGATTAACTAAAGGAAAATGTAAGCATCTCATTGAAAAAAGTAGAAAAGGCATCTGTTGTGAAAGAATAATACCCTAGCTTTGTCATGGGATTTAGAAGCAGTACATTTTCACACCATGAAGTCAAATTGACATTTGAGATTCTAGGAAATGACTGCTTCAATGTGCTGCTCATATACAGTCACCCTTCTTTGTTTCTGTTTGGTTGCTTATGTAACTAGAGTAATCTGCCATCCTGGTGTGCCCAGGGGACTGTCTTTGTTTTAGCATTGCAAATCTCATGTTCCAGGAAGCTCTCTTCCTGAGTGAACTGGGAACCAATTACCTTGTGTGTTCCTAGCATCATATGATCAATCACAATGTTTTGCTCAAGTTCAGTTTCAGTTAAAGAAGTTGAAATGGCAAGAAGAGCCTTTACATAAGTATAAGAATATCACAACAGAGGTGTTGTAAGGCAGAGTTTGGTGTAATATTGAAGGGTCAAATAACGGCATAATTTTGAGAAATGATAAAAGGATTAATAGGAATCTTTACAGGTATAGGAGAAAGGCAGTTTGGGGGATGATTTTGTTACAACTATATCGTGCTAGTGTTAATAGTTTTTTACATGTGAGGGAACCAAACCTCAAATTTTTTTAAGTTAACATCTTTGTTACAATAGAAATGCGTGTGTCTTCGTTTCTAAATCCAAAGTATAAAGCTGTTATGAATAAGATATAAGTGAACATTAAAAATATTTTTCCTGGGACTCCCCAGCGGGACTTTTTATTAGTAGCTACTATTCTTGTTGCTTCTGAAGCTTTCCACAGAATTTCTTTGCATATCCCCAGTTGTACACACATGTGCCTGCTTTTACATGCTAGTGATATGGTTTTTCCTGCTTTTTCTTTGGAGTGTGTAGTATTCCAGTATATGGAAAGTCCATTTCTTGGTCTTTACCCTTTGATGGGCATTTGATTTGGTGCCAGGCTTTTGCAATTACAAATAGTGTTCTAGTAGTCATTCTTTATATATCTTTGAATGCTTGTAGAATGTCTATAAGATATATTTATCTAAACATAATTGCTATACTGACTTTTAATCACTTTTTATTACTGATCAGTTCCATTTCCCCTTTAGCTTTGCTCTATAGTGCATTTGGTGTCATCATTGAGAAAACACGAGGTGCAGAAGATGACCTTAACACAGTAGCAGCTGGAACCATGACAGGCATGTTGTATAAATGTACAGGTAGGTACTACTGAGTGAAGAGGAGCTCTCAGTAGTTTTAAAACTAAGTAGCCACAGTTTTCAAAGGATACTTGACACATTTTTTGCAGTATAATGGAGAGCTGAACAAAACTCCTGGTTGTTTTGTGTTTTGTTTTGTTTTTTAAGATTTTATTTATTCATGAGAGGCAGAGACACAGGCGGAGGAAGAAGCAGGCTCCATGCAGGGAGCCCGATGTGGGGCTAGATCCTGGGACTCTAGGATCACACCCTGGGCCAAAGGCAAGTGCTAAACTGCTGAACCACCTAGAGATCCCCTGGGTTTGGGTTTTTATTTGGTTTTTTATTAAGTGTACATTCAGTAATGTTAAGTGTATTTACATTATTGTGGAATATCACCACCATCTAACTCCAGAACATCTCTTCATCTTGAAAACTAAAACTGTGTATCCATTAAACAATTTTCCCCTTCCTTTTTATTTTCTAACTACGAATTTAAACTCTTAGGTACTTTAGGGTACCTCATATAGGCAGAATCATACAATATTTGTCTTCTTATGACTGGCTTGTTTCATTTAGCATACTATCCTCAAGTTCATGTTGTAGCATGTTTCAGAATTTCCTTTTCAAGGCTGAATAAAAACTCCCTTGTACATATCTACATTTTATTTATCCATTCATCTGTCAGTGGATATTTGGATTGCTTCTACCTTTGACTACTTTGAATAATGCTCCTGTGAACATGGGTGAACTAAATACCTTTCAACTTTGAAAAAATAAACAGAACCTTAAGAGTTGAACCAAAATGACCTGACTGGAGATCAAATACCAAATTCTCCTCTAAGATGGAAAAGAAATTAACATTCACTGCATTATGATTATGCCCTCAGCTATAAGCACTTACTTACTAACTTACTTAAAACTGTGAAGTCATCATCATCACATTCCAATTTTATAGATGAATGCAGTATTAAGAGGACTTTTCAAAAGGTCACATAACTGGTGATAGGCCCAAATTTTTCATCACATTTCTGCTTGAAATAGCTTAAACTACATATGTACTCTACTTATACCTCTGAAAATTACTTCTGTTTCATTGTTTTACTATGCATTAGAAATGATTAATGGAGTAATTTTGTATTTTGGAAATTCCTCCACCACAAATATCAGGTAGCACTTTTGCTTCATTTTTAATAGAAGAAAGAAAAGCTTCAGTGGGATCATGAAATCCAAGATCAGGAAATCTGATATATCATTTCCTGATATATCTGAGAGTGAGGGTTTTTTTTTTCCTATATTGAAAATGGATTAGGGGTTCCTACGTATTCAGTTGGTTGAGCATCCTACTCTTGGTTTTGGCTCAGGTCGTGATTTCAGTGTCATGTGATCAAGCCCACCACCCCTCTCTCTTCCTTCAAAATAAATAAATTTGTAAATCTTTTTAAAAAGAGAATAAAATGGATCATATTTGGAATTTTATTCCTAAGAGTTCACAGTATTTCTTGCACCACATGCACATGTATGTACTCACATAAACAGAGCACCAGGTAGATTGAGACGATAAATGCCTTTTATGTCTATGAAGATGTTACCTTAGCTAGAAAAACTTTCTTAAAAAATCTAAAAATACTTCAAGTTGAAGATCTTTAGGATCAGACAAAAGAATTTAAAACTTTAATTGGCAGCACAAGGGTGCATTCAGCAAGAGTTTACTTGGCCCAACCTGTGTTTACAAAAGATCAAATTAATATTTAAAAAACAAGAGATTTCACATAGAAATCTGGAATTCCAGCTTCTTTTGAATAAATGGAAGACAAAAAGCTTACATTATTCAAGTTGACATGGCTAGGGCTGAGTGGGAGCTGTTTCTGTACCAGTACATGGGCACTAAAGCTCCAGTTCAAAGAATACATTGGGGGTTGGAAAGTCCCGGTCTTCTTATTCAGGGTAAGCCACTGTGGCATTTCCCAAGCTGAGGGCAGCCTTGAATATAAGAGTGTACTGAATTATTCATCTTAGAACATACTATACATATTTAAAAGGGAAAGGAAAAGGCTGAATTCTTGATTTTGGAGGAAATGGGAGCCTAGCTTTCTGCGTCAAGGATTTCCTTGCAGTAATAGCATTTATGACACAGGCTGAGACACCTCCTGCATAAATTATAAAAGAGAAAGGTCTTGGTTCAGAAGAGAAGAAGCAGAAAAAGAATATCCATAATTCTATGTCAGGTGACTACAGATTTCATTTTCCATTACACTGTGAAACATAGAGGAAGTTAATCTGCTGACCAAGAATTCCAACGTTGGCTCATAGTTTCTGGCTGAACAATTTAAATTTAGCTCAACACATTGAAATCAGTCTACAGAGGAGTCTTGTTGATTTCTGGTTTAGAATGAATTTAATAAGTACAGAATTACAAATTTTGTGTGATAGGAATACAAATACAACTTCGACTTCTAGATTCAGGGATTTGGAAAAGAGTTGAGGCACTCTTGGTCTAGAGCCAGCATAGACTCTTAAGGACAGAAGTTTACATTTAGGGAATAGCTGATTCTTGCTGACATAAAACATTTCCAACCCCCAATGTATTCTTTGACAACAGAAATGAAAAGAAAGGTTAAAGTAGTATAACTCAACTTAGGTATGGAGCTCCTTTAGTGGAAAGAAAACTCATGAGGAAAAACACATGAGAAAATGGGTAGTTATCAAACTAAACGCTTAGAGGCTAATTTAAATGAATAATTCTCTTGAGTGATTTTAGTTCATATCTGTTTATTTAATGAATTTATGTAAATATTTTTCAAAGGGAAAAAAATATTTTTCAAAGGGTATGAAATGTCATTATTAGATTTTCTATGGCATATGAAAATCTGTTTAGTAATGATCCATATTGGGGCGCCTGGATGGCTCAGTCCATTAGATGTCTGCCTTAGGCTCAGTCGTAATCTCAGGGTCTTGGGATTGAGCTTCCTGTTAGACTCCTTGCTCAGCAAGGATCTGCTTCTCCCTCTGCCCTTCCCCCTTGCTCGTGCTCTCTCTCTCTCAAATAAGTAAATAAAACCTTGGAAAAAAAAATATTGACCAGTATTCTACCAGAACAGGAACAGCTGTAGTTTTGCTATTGTTCATAAGCTTAGGACTAATGTTTAAAAGGCTTGGTGACTTATCTGAAATCAGGAACAAGGCATCAGAGACTAAAAGATATGGGCACCCCTTTTTCCCCTCACAAAAAATCCCTGACCTGTTCATAAGATTGTATTAGAGAAGCAGATTTGATTGTCCAGAAGATTGTATTAGAGAAGCAGACTAAATAAAATTAAAGGATATTCAAATACATTTCTTCATATTAAGCAAATATTATCAGGGTTATTGTTAAAAGAGGTACTTTTATCAATGAGTGCCAGGCCTAACAAAATTAAAGACTTTCTTGATGACTTTCTATTAGTGGCAGCAATATTCTTCCAGTAAATTAAAATACACATATGTAATAGGCAGAGGGTTAGCTGCTGTAATATACAGAACATTTTGACAGATCACTTAAACCAACAGTCCAATAAAAAAACAGAGTAAGGATTGACAGAGCGCTTCAGGGAAAAATACAAACCATTAACCAATAGAAGCTATTCAGTGTCCCAAGCAACCAGGGCAAAGCAAAATAAAACATTAAGTTAATATTTTTCACCAACTGCCTTTAAAAAAAGTGATGACAGGTAACTAACTGATGGTCACCATAGGGGAGTTGGGTGGGTGGATGCGTTGAAATAGGAGTAAGGAGTGCACTTGTGATGAGCATCAGGTGACTAAAATAAAAACTTAAAGTGATGGTAGGTGATACTTAATATTGGCAAAGGGAAGCAAACAACTGGCATTAGTTATTAGTATTTTGAATACGTAGATCCTTTGCTGAAGTAATCTTTCAGCAATTTATCCTCCAGCAAACTAAGGCATACACACAAAACTGTATGCACCAAGGTTTAAGACTGGCTTCAAGGAGAGGGCATATTTGAACAAAGATGAGGGAGCATGTGAGATGGCTGTCTGGAAGGAGTGATTTAGGTAAAGGCTAACAACAAAGTCCCATGGGGATTAAAAGGCGGCTGGGGGGGGGGGGTGCAGGGTGGAGAGCAGTAGACTCTGGAGTTACCGTAAAAGTGGCAAGGGACTAAATCATATAGAAAATAGAGCAGCTTCGTAGGCCACTGAAAGAATCTGACTTCACTGGACTTTGATTCTTATATTCTAAATATTAGCATTTCCATTTACTTATAAGCCTTAAATTGTTGATCATAATTATCAGGTAAACTTTCACTGTTCTGGGTCCAGAGTTTTCATGGGAGATGTTAAGTCAGTGTTGGTAAACCCTCTAAAACTTGCCTAAGATTCTCAAAGGAGACTGGGCTACCATACCATCACAGGAAAGCAACCTCCAAAATGACTAAGAATCTGATGAGAAGAAAAAAAAAAAGTCCTAAAAAGATAGTAATGTGGGGAGTCAAAAACTACTGAGAAAATTTAATAAGTGTAGTCTTGCACAAAAGAACTGGGATTGCTGGGGAGGGGCTGGTGGTGCTGGGAGGGACTCCCTCACCATGGGAAGCCCGAAAGGCAGCTGCTCTGCTGCTAAGAGTCACACATACTGCTTCCACTCTGTAACAGAAAGTGAAGGGGGAGGTGGGGGAAGGGAAGCAGGAAACAGCATCTTGTAGTGTTCCTGTTGCCATTGATAACCCACCTTTCTCTCACCATCCCCTCATTTCATCATCCATGAACTTCTATACCTACTTCTATACTATAAAGTATTTTTCATTGACCATTTTGACTTTAGACTTCTACCTTCAATCTGTCTTGTTTAATCACTATTTCTGGCTTAATCTTCAAGTATGGTACTAATTCTAATACTCCCTGTCCAAAAACTTTTGATGATGACATACTGCTTTTCAACTTAAATTTCTCATCCTAGCCTTCCATGCTCTAATCCTAGCCTACATTTTCAGACTTTTCCCACACCTTCCTTGCATATATCATATGACCAAACACATAAATTTGAAATCCAGTCCTTCTATAAGGCCTAGATCAACTGTTATTACCCCTTTCAATAGACTTATTTATCTATCCTGGAGGCAGTTAAATGTGGTGTAAAAAACAAAGGACTTTGGAGTCAGACTGGGTTTGACTTGACTAGCATTAGATCCCTAAACAGCTACATGTGCAGAGAAGAACTTGTCTGAATTTGTTACACAAGGGTATATTCCCTTCACAGACTTGTAAATGAGATAACTTATATAAAGTAAGTTACTTACATCCCACCATAAGCACATTTTATGTAATTTTTACAAGGCTTAACAGTTTTCCTGGTAGGAAGTCAGTAGATATCAAGAACTAGCAAAGTAGTTGTGTTATTTAGAAACATGAAGGTAAAAAGCAAAGAATGAAATGGTTGCCTTTGGGAACTAGGAATTAAGGTGAAGATGGTGTGTGTACTACATTATTCGTTACTAAAATCTTGGTACTATTTTGACTTGAAATTTTTTATATGGACTACTTTAATAAAATAAAATTTAAAGTGAGCAAAAACCTATGTATCAATTAGGCATTAGAAGAGAGGAGTGAGGAGTTACTATTTAATGGGTACATAGTTTCAGTTTGCAAGATGAAAAATGTTCTCTGGAGATGGAGGTGATAGTAGCATGATGGAGGTGATAGTAGCATGATGCCATTATACTTAATGCTACTATACTGTGTTGTCAAAAATGATAAAAAATTTTTTATAGTATTTAGTAGTAGCCATGTCAGGGTTGTAGGTAAGACTGGAGGGGCCAGCATCATCTGCTGGCCAGATGCCTATCCACTATCCGGAGGCTGAGAATGTTTTATATTTTTAAAAATGGTTGACCCTTGAACAATGTGAAGTTGAACTGCATGGGTCAACTTATATATAATTTTTCTTCAATCAGTACAGTACTGATTTTGTATTTTCTCTTATGATTTTCTTAGTGATCCTTTCTGCTTCATTCTAAGAATACAATATATAATACAATACATACAAGGTACGAAATATGTGTTTATCAACTGTTATGTTTTCAGTAAGGCTTCCAGTCAACAGTAGGCTATTAGTAAACTTTTTGGAGAGTCAGAAGTTGTACATGGATTTTTTTTTAATTTTTTTTTTTTTTTCAATTTATGATAGTCATACAGAGAGAGAGAGAGACAGAGACACAGGCAGAGGGAGAAGCAGGCTCCATGCACCGGGAGCCCGACGTGGGACTCGATCCCGGGTCTCCAGGATCGCGCCCTGGGCCAAAGGCAGGCGCCAAACCGCTGCGCCACCCAGGGATCCCTGTACATGGATTTTTTGACTGTGCAGGGGGTGGGGTGGCATCCTGTAACCCCACTCACTGTTCAAGGGTCAACTGTAATTACATTTCAAGTGGTTATGTAAATACCTACATAATAGCTTTTGGGACCTGAAAGTCTAAAATATTTACTTTCTGGCCATTCTAAGAAAAATTTGCTGGTTCCCCAGCTCTAAAGTAATTGTCAGTTCAGTGTATTAGCTCTGCCACTGTCCAGCTCTATTCCCCACAAACAAGGTACTTTAATATTCTGGGCCTCATCTTCCTATGATCAGAAGATTTGCCCTTTCTGGCAAGAGTTGTGTAAGGACCAAAAGATAGAAGGTAAAACTGAAACACATGTCTGGTGTTTGTTTTCCTTTATAGAGATTGACCATTGACCTTATTTGGTTACTGTGTTCAAAGCAAGAATATTTGCTATCAACTTCCTGTGCTTAGTTGGGCAGAAGTTCTTTACAGAAAGTCTAAAGCCAAGGCCTTCAAACGTTTAATAGAATCAGTTAGAAAATGCTGGAATTAATGGAAAGTTACAACTAAAACCTGGCTTGGTATGTGATAAGAGGCTACCCTTAAATCAGGATTAGCTGTGCTTAGTAAATCAAGCACTGCCAATGTTTAGTGTCTGCTTGCTGCAAATAACTGTTGTCCAACCTTCAAAGAAGTGACTTGTTTGAATTAAGTTTGTTTCATTTTGGTCAGAAAGTAGAAAGCTTTCTAGAAGACACATTGTTGTTAAGGGACACTTAAAATGCCACTGGTGTCCCAAAAATCTGAGTCTTGCAATTCTGTTTCATTGTTACCCCTAGTGCACCTGCCCAAGGAGGCTTGTTATTTGATAGCTGAGAACAAATATGAGTCTTTCAAAAAAGTGGCTAAGTGGCCGTGTTCTTAGGCACACTCAAAGCAAAGGGCCAAGTGTAAGGAACAGTTTGCCGGTATTTCCAGACCAGTGTGCAGAGTTCAGAGCTCTGTAGATCCAGGGGAGTTCATCTGAAGTTGAATGTTTGGTCCCAGGAAAACATCTGCAAATGTAGTGCGCTTCCAGGTACCTGCCCTCCATCATTTTTCTGCTAATAAACAGCAGTGAGGCCACCTTTCTTTTGTTTTTTGTTGAGTCAGAATGGAGTACTGTATGTTTGTAACCTGCTTCAAAGAGCCCTCATTATACTCAGTTTAGATCTAGAGCAGCATGTTGATGCTGTTGCTAGTAGTAGTTATTCTCCTGTACTTCATAGTTTGTTTTTTTCCTCTTAGTAATTTGGTCTAATTATAATTCACCTTTAGTCCCTAGAACTTTTTGTTGATTTACTAAAGACATGAGAGGTTAAGTTATTATTGGGCAGACTGTTTTAACTAAGGTTGAATCTTGCAACCGCATTGGATACAGTTGCAAAGTCAACTGCTATACTTAGTCTAAATGTAGCAAGATGATACAAAGATGATATGGGCTTCAAGGAGAAATCTTCCATTGAATTTTTTTCTGATTCCTGCTTCCCACATATTTGATGATGTTTATAAGTGATGCCTGCAGTTTCTGTTTCAGTCTGTTTGAGAGAGATAATTAGGGCACTTCATGGTGAAAACCTACGCAGGTCGGCTATCAGACCTCTTCAGACCAGAGAGGCTCTTGGAGGGGGTGGCTTTTTAATCAGCTGAAGCCATCTGGCAGGACAGGACATTCATTGCAGAAATGGTAGTCTGAAGTGTTCTAACTTGGCAGTGTTACTGAATTTCACAGAATTTCCTGGTTTGTAGCCAAAGGGCCTCTGGTAAGGTAATCACTGGACCACAGCTCCATTCCAACTTTGCCTTCCTAACAAATACGTAACTTGGAATGACTATTCCATAGGTATAGACTCCCTGAGGTTTATGGTATCTACTCGTTTGTGAAACCATAAGAACATTGAGTTATTTCCTAAAAGCTTATTTGGGTACCCCTTAGTCCTCTTGGTAGACTCCAGGGATGATATTCAGGTAACTGATTAAAACATTTTTGTTTTTACGTTTCAGGTGAAATATATATTGCTACTTGGTTTTCACATGAAAAACTTGTTCAAAGTTTAATCTTTCAATGTTTTTCAGTGAGGATGATGAAGCTGTGTGCCTTGTTTCTCATTAGTTATACTAGAGATTGGCAGATGTGTCAGTGTAGGAATGGACAGGGAGGAGGGTGGGGACAGGTGGTCCTTTATCAGCACTTAACACAAAAATTTGATTATAGCTATCTTATCACCACTACTTCTTGAGTCTTCAAAGTTAATAGAGGACCTGTCCAGAGTCCAGAGGTTAATATTGTTTCCAAAGAGGGTGTCACCTTGTTTATATTATAGCCTTGAATCAATTTGTAGTGCCTATGAGGCCCTAAACAGTAGGACTGGCAGGAAATTATTCATCTGTTTGGGACTTCAATATGCATAAGATCTTGTCTGAAGTATTGTAGGAACAAGTGAGATGGAGAAAAATCAAGAAATTATTAATGCTCATGATCTTAGCTATAAATTATGAAATTAAAAGCAAAAAGATTGTGAATGAGAATATATGTATTAAACAAGTGATTTAAAGGAATCTCTTGAACCTCTCTTGGTTTCTTGTATTATTTTTAGGACAATCTGTTTGAGGTGGAATATTGATAAACATGAATTATGTCTCAATTTCGTGATAATGTTACTTAATCCTTTGATGCTAGGACACTATGCAATACAAGGCTGTTTCTCCCCCTCCTCCTCTTTTCCAGGTGGTCTACGAGGGGTAGCACGAGGTGGGCTAGCAGGACTAACGCTTACCAGCCTCTATGCACTATATAACAACTGGGAGCACATGAAAGGCTCCTTACTCCAACAGTCACTCTGAAGATTTCGCCAACTTATGAGTGGAGGACACTTTAGTAGTCATCCAGACCAATTTATATGTCAGTCTGGAGTTGCTCTCTCTTCCTACAGTTAGTTTGAAAAATTGGAGATTCCAGTTTGCTGTGGTAAAGATCATGTATGGTTGACCAGGACTGGCATCCTGCTAGCCAGAGTGGAAGCCCAAACTCCTCTGGTGGCTGAGTAATGTGGTTCTTCCCTACCCTCTGAACTGAAAAACTACTTACAGGATTCAGGTCATGATTGTTGTCTATACCGTATCCCCACATTTATTTAATGATCTGAAACTGTAATGTTGCCTTGTATTTCCAATAAAGGGTGAAAACAGAACCGAAGTGTAAACACAGTGTCTCTATTTAAAAGCATTTTTCTGGATATAAAGTGAAAATTACTCTTAGCATTTTTGTCTGCCCCAACTAGGCCAACTCATTTTCTTGGTTGTGTTGAAATAAAGGGTTACTTGGCATCATTAACATCTAGGTTACAAATTTTCTTCAATAGAATTGACACTAAACCTTAGGATACTTGATATAAACCATCATGCTAAATTCTCTGCTCACTAACTCACCTCCCTATGGAGGATAATTACAGGACAGAAACAAGCTACAGGGTTTAAGGAAGCCTTGGGAAAGCTAAAGGTGAGGGCAAGTTATTTGTTTTCTCACCTATGAAATGAAATTAAATAAAACTGCAGTGCAGGTCACACATATACATAATACATACTAAAACAACTGGTGTTTATTATGAAGGGAAAGGGTAAAGTAGGGCCTTCCTGCATGCACCCAGTAAGGACTCAGAGAGAGAGGAAAGCACTGAACCTTAGCTGAAGGCCTCTAGTTTTTTTAAAAAGAGAGTTTAATATATTTCATAAAAATGAAAAGAGCAGATCTGAAGCCTGCAGGAAAAGACTCAAAATGAAACTGGTAATATACCTAGCTTTTTCTATATCAAGATTCATAAGATACACTCGATATTTAAGTGAATATAAAAGTTCTCAGCTGTACTCCTACCCAAAGGTCACTGTGGTAGAACAGTCCGTGATAAGGCAGTTTTACAGATACATACAACTATGCCTGTTTGTGCTTTTAATGAAGGGAGGTACAAAATGCTTCACCGCAAAAGAATGTGTTACATACTTATTAGCATGATGATGAATATAAAATTAGGAACACATCGTTAAACCTCAAAACTACAAAGTTTCCTGCAACATAAGATAATGGAAAAGGCTCCTTAAATTTTTACCTGCCACCTTTATTATTAAAGTTCTAAGTGGTATTGGGGGAGGAGCGACGACCAAAAAACAGGTTCTTTTCAGCTGTGTTCAAGAAGTCAAATGAAGCTGTATGGCAAGGACTGTGGGACTGTGAAGTTTCTCCAAAAGGGCTTTTAGATGACCACATCACAAACTTCGAAAGTATTAATAACATACAGGAAAGCTGAATTTAAAACTTGTCTGAAAGCCCAGAAAGCAGCTAAGATATCTCACCTTTGAGAATTTAAAAACATTATAAATTGCATTTCCTACAGAGATACTTTTTAAAGCATGGACGGGACTTTTAAGGATACTGGGAAAACATCAAAGTTTTCATAAAGCTTCAGTAAACACCCCAAGGCACAAGTGTTCAAAACAGCCTATTCACTAAAATGTCACTGCATTCTACTTCCAAAGGTGTAGGTATGTTATGCTTGCAGTGAGAACATTTCATTTATTCCTAATTAAAAGCACCAGGTGTCAGGCTCAGCTTCCCTTTACACAGGATGCACCAATAACCCTTAGGATAGCTAACAGTTCAAATACTACGTTTACAACATGTCTTGCCTTTCGCTCTTTGATTGATTACTCAGCAGGAGGGCTCTTTTACCTGTGTTCAGAATATTATGGAAGTGGCTAGGACTACCCTGGATATAATCTTGAAACAATATGGAGCTCTTCTAAAAGCTCATTAGATACTTTAATAACATTTAGATAACAGACCAAATTTGCAGTAGCTGAATCTCTTTTAAAAGAAGAAAAATAATGTAGAATCTAACATGTAAAAGTTAAAATGTTTTGTATAATCAATGTCAAAAATTGCCAAGATTGTTAATACATGTTGTGGTAAGAAAAAAAAAATCACTATGTTGGCAAGGTTAACTATTTGTGTGAAATACACTATAGATTAATTAAACAGAAGAATCATTACTTCCACCACCAATGGAAGAAAACCCACAGCACGGGGAGCATCTAAAGGAAGACAATCAAAAGATTAGAGAAGCTTACTAGCTTTCAAATATATCAACACACTTTGATTACAGAACTATTTCGTTTTTAAAACTACAGTGTTTTAATGTACTTCTAGTAACGATTCAATCTAAGGAGCTATAGAGGCTTATGAAAAAGACCTATCCACCAAGATGCTGTGTTTGTTTCTAGTGTAGGGCTGAGTTAATACTTTTGTAAGAAGGAACTGAAATCACCTCAGCATCAACAGTCTTTTTCTTTTATGCAGTAACTTATAATTCGATGACTTATTTCTCTTCACTAGCTCAACTAGGCAGGAAAGGAACTAAGCTGACTGGTCAGACCCAGAAACACAATGATTTGGCAAGCTGCACAGTCACTCGGCCCATGGATATGGGATAATTTGCAGAAAAGTTGCTTGACTTGGGTTCCATTCCTTCACATCTGTAAAGAAACGTCCACAGATTAGAGTCCCTTCACTATAGGATAAAAGCAAATCTCCCCCCGCCTTAAAGCTCAGACTTGTTTCTCAAGCTAATAAAATCCACAACAGACTCTGAAAATTCCCGACAGTTATATCATCTTAAAAGGTCACTTTCAAGTATGTCCTAGTTATTTTATAAAGCAAGTTCAAGTGAAAATACCTGAAAGTGTTACGATCCCCCAGCCATCATCACTTGCCTAGCACACACACCATTAACAGGACTATAGTTCAGTGAGCCAAGTGTAAATTCATATAGAAGACAAAACATAAAAAAGAAAAAAAAAACATTGACAAGCAGCTAAACTCTAATTTTTTTTTTTTTTTTTACACTAGAGACATGTACGCACCTGTAGAGGAGTTCGATACAACCACTTTTCTTTGTCTACTTTAAGCTGCATACAGGCAAAGAGGTCACAAACTGCTGGGAGGCCATAACGGTCTTGGGGAAAGTTACATTCCTCCTGTAGCGGTGAGTTAAGTAATACTTCCTGCAAGAAGACAAAAACGGTGGGTTGCTACATGACAACTGGGAGGCAAGACACCAACTTAACTCATCTGCCCAACAGTGTAGTGTCTCTAAAGAATGCGTACATGTTGGCCATTCTCTCAAATAAGCAAGAGAAAAGGTAAAATTGTTTATTAATCTTTCCCAAAAACAACCACTAAAACTGAGGTGGTGTTTTTCTTTCCTGCAGGATGGGGCCTGAAAGCCTGAAAAATGTACAAAAATTTTAGTCTGAATCAGATGTTCCAGCAAGATTAATATGCCAAATAACATTTAACATATTTCAGGATCTGGCCCATCTGCAAGATTTGGGATTAAGAAAGTATAAATCTACTAAGTATAGTTCAGATGTCTGTGCTCACCTTGGCCTTCTTTCGAAGTAGCCACTTGTCTTCTCCTGAGGATAACTGGCTGAGGTTTCCCATCTGCTTTCCTGGCAAGACCCAGTCAGCTGTATTAAAAGGATGGCAGAAAGTGGCCACTGGGTTCATAGGCTTTTGCTTGCTAGCTCTGTCTTCAGTACCAGGCATTTCCTTGGGACAACCTTCTTTGCATGAGGGTGTGATGAGCCACTCTGACAAAGGGCTGTTCCTTATGACTTGGAAGGAATCAGCAATTCTAGAAGGAGCCACTGCCTTTGACATCTTAGCTTGTTGTGCTGCCTCTTTTCTGGAAGGACAGAGCCACACACTCAGGGAATCTATACACTTCTCAGATTCAGGATTTGGTTCCACAGGCATACCATTTTTGTCTTTTCCTTCTTTCTTCAGAAGCCATTTACACAGAGCTTCCTTCTCACAGTTCTCATCACACACACACTCTGCAAAGCTCGTACAGGGCTCATTGGCTTTGCACACCTCCTCCACTTTATATGGGTCCTGATGATTCTGGACAAGCCAATCCTCATTAATCATGCTGGGAATGGACAAGGGTTTCTTGGCCTCTAAGTGGTCGTTCAGGCACTTCAGATTGCCCAGGTTTTCAATCTCCACACCCTTGGGCTGGTTGCCCCGACAATTGGTACAGGAATCGGGCTTGACAAGCCAATCATTCACACTGTATGGCTCTTGGAACACCTGCAACAGGAGCTTAAACTTCCCACTGGTTTCACAGCTGCCATTCCCAGGCTTCTCCAGCTTATGGGATTCCTGAGGAGTCACCAGCCAATCAGAAAGGTCCATCTCGTCCTGCTCAAGAAGGTCCAGATCTCCAATCTTTTCAATTTCAACAGAGTACGAACTGGTAGTAGAATGGCTGTTACACTTCTGGTAAGTTGGTTTTTCGGGAACATCTTGTTGCTGACTCTGGTGGAGCCAGTTTTCTAAGCCCTTTAAGTTGCCCCAGACTTTACCGAAGAAATTGCAGGCTCTGGCAGAAGTCTACACAAGAAAAAAAAAAAAAAGAAAAAAGAAGTCTACACAAGAAGTATGCAGTATTAGTCCATAGAACATTATGGCTGCTCTGGGGTTCAATGGTAAGAGTTCATTTATTTACACTCCCTAGAGTTTCTAAATTTAAGTATATAAGGCCAAGGAAAGGATTTCTCTGTTGGGATATTAAAATATGTATTGAATAACCAACAATTTTCTGCAGTTTTAAAAAAACTTAAAAATACTAAAGACAAGCTTTTGTAGCCTATTTGATAGAAAAGAGGCTGGTAGTTCTACATTCAGCCTTCACAAATAAAGACAAAAATGAACAAAGGATATGATTAGGCAAGTCATCCAAGAAGGCTAATTAACCTAAAAAATATTCCACCTCCATAATCAAACTTCAAAACAAAAGTAAAATTGTTCTTTGTATCAAATTCAGAGGAAAAAAGAAACTTATAAATGATTGCCACTATTTGAGAAGTTTCAGGGAAAGATACACCCTCAATATTCTGCCAAATATTCTGAATATAAATTGGTATCAACTTCCTAGAAAGCCAAACTGGCGATATGTATCAAAAGTCTTAAAGGGTATGCAGAATTATAATCTAGAAATCAATTTCTAGGATTTTACTGCTAAGGAATTAATGTGCACACACTAACTCCTGGCTGTTTAGGGGAACTGTGTTCATACCCAGAAAAACTGGAATTTCAATTATAGCCAATCAATGAAATATTATATAGTATTAC